AAATTAGCCATAAAATTGTCAAGAACAGCAAGTAGAAACTAATGATATATCTAGAATCAAAATTGAAATCGAAGGGACTTAGATACATAAACTTGATAGTGAGATTTTGGAGGGAAAAATGGAAAGTTTTGGTGAAGAAAAATATGGGATTATTATGGAGTAAAAGCAAGGAAAACAGAAAGGACCAGAGAAGGGTACTTTCAACATAGTTGAACATAGACTGTATTGGTGAAGAATAAATTGTTGGAAAATATAAAGCTTTGATGAAGAGAAACAAGTGCTTGGTTATTAATAGATTTTTAGCAAGAGAGTATTAGCAGAGTGGAAATAGAATTGTTAAGAAAAAATTGTTCTGGTAGTGTGAAGAGATTGGAAAAATAGTCTAGATATAAAGTTGAATAGAAATGCAGTACTTAGTTAGGAAAACTAAACACCTTCCTACTACAGTATTCATCCTATGTATTTGTACTTCTACATGTTTGCTATTTTTATGGTGTTTTGATGTCTGCTGTTTTAAACCTTGTTGGTCACTTGCTATTATAATTGCAATTATTCTTACTGTTGCTATTTGCTTCCTGGATTTGCCCTTCCTCAGGGCAGTTTTTATTGCAGTAATTTGTGTGGGTCTGATTGGGTTGATGCTTGGAAATCTTATTAAATCAAGTAAACTGCAATTTTATCATACTGCAATGTCTGTTAGTCATATGGTGTTTAAAATTGTTACAATGGTTTCTTGGGGTACTATAAGCATGTGTGGGCTCATTACTTTACATAAATAAGACCGTGCTGCAGAGTGCTTTGGAATGGATTTTACACTAAAGCAGTGATGGCGAACCTTTTAGAGACCGAGTGCCCAAACTGCAACCCAAAACCCACTTATTTATTGTTGGGTGCCAGGTGGGTGTGGCCCATTGGGTGGGTGTGGCTGCAGTGGTAACAGCAGACTGGGTGGGACTAAAAAGTTCAATCAATCAATTCCAACTTTGCAAGATCTTTTTTTCCCGCGAGTTGAAATTGACTGATTGAACCTTTTTTTTTGTACATGGTGGTGGAGGCCTAAAGCGAAAAGGTTTTATAAAACCCAGCTGAAGGCCTAGGACTGGGGCAACAGCGCATATGCCCACAGAGAGGGATCTGAGTGCTGCCTCTGGCACCCGTGCCAGAGGTTCGCCACCAGTGCACTAAAGGTTTGGCTGGGTGGTAATAAAAATTAGTTAAATTCAAGAATAATGATCAAGGAGAAGTGCATACAATTGCAAGGTTCAGGGTGGGAAGGTATGAGTAAATTCTCCCAGCAGGTTTCTATGTATTCCCATTTTTCTATGGGAAAAATGATGGGCTAAGACTGTTAAGGTGGTACTACTCTCGTTGATAAGCATTCTGTCCTGAGAGTTTACATGTATAAATATGAGGGCAATTCAGAAATAAACCTCTGTTTGGTTACCAATGACAGAGACTCAGATACAGAACGTTTATTATACATATTAGAAAACTACATTACATTACTTTTTGACATAATCGCCATTCAAATTGAGGCACTTATCATAACGTCTTACAAGGTTTGAAATTCCTTGGTAGTAGTCACTAGGCACCAAATCCGGGCTATGGGGAAGAGGGGGTGATAAAAAACATCCCAGCGGAACTGCTTCAAAAGTTCTTGGATGCGTCTAGTGGTGTGCAGACGAGCATTATCATGAACCAACACCACACTGGAAGTGGTGCCATAGAAAATCCCACCAAATGTGAAGATGCCAAAGGAGTACTGCTAGTGAAGTTCATGGAGTGTGGTTCGACTATCCATCCAGAAGTCTACTGTGAAACATTACGAAAACTCAGACGAGCCATAACAAGTGTCGAGGCATGCTGACTTCTGGTTTATTTCTGAATTGCTCTTGTACAATGTATAAAAACAAAACAATGTTCTGTATGATGTGAAGAGTGTCACGGATGTATTAAAAAAATCAGATTTCACATAGAATGACAGCTAATATCTTGAACATTGTGAGACTTTTAGCTTTATTAACTATGATTAAGATTTCCATCTGTTGTATCTTCAGTTTTCTTGATTGCCTGTATATATTTTTTGTAGTGTACACATATTTCACATTATTCCTAAAAAAAAAAAATCTGCAGCTTTTCATTTCTTGGTTCAGAAATTGTACCCTCAAGAATCATTTCTAAATAAGATTTAACTGCTGTATATTAAACTATTATAGCTCACTTCCTTATTTTAGAAATTTATGCATAAAAAACCCAAAACCAATTTATGCATAAAAAACAAAAGCAATTATTTCCATATATCGACTGGGTTTTTTCAGGATTTTGCAAATGGTATTAAATATTTCATTATAAATAATATAATATATTCTGCTAATCCCTCTTATAAGGAATCCCCATTAAGTATGCATAGTTGATGTTAAAATAAAGGGATTAAGCTAATAGGTGATTCTACCAAGGTCTACATTTTAAAAATAAAGAAAGATGAAGAATGCAAAACGAATAGGCCACATAGTACATATTGATATTAAATAGGAGGTGTTTTTTTAAGTAATTTAGTTAAGATTTATTTTAAAATTTGGACATAAACATATGACCCCCAGGTTTTCATCAATTTGCGGAACAGATTTTATTATCAAGAAATTACTTATCAATGTAGATTATCTATGGACGATTATAATGAAATAGAACAAACATTTGTTTGTTGAATGGTTTGTGTAGAATTTTCAGATGTATACAGAGTCATGAAAATCTGCCTTGTTTTTGTTACTTTGTTTTATGATTTTGTATTGTATATTAGTTTTTCTAATTGTATTCAAATAAAAAATGACATACCTTTTAAAAAAATCAAAACTATACAATTTAAAAAAGGATAAAAATATAATCTAAAAGGCAGTGTTAAATCATACTGATTGGCTCTAAAGTACATTAGAAAATATATCTTTTACTCAATTAAATTATTTGAAACAAAGCTGCCATTACTTATTATTTCCATTACATGTTAAATCAGCTGACTGTAAAAACAGTTCAACAATGAAACCAATCATCCATTTCCACTCATTGGTTGTATCCCAAGAAAGCGGGCAACCATCTGTCAGAGGTGCTTTAATATGGATTAGTGCTCTAAGCAAGAGGTTTGATGGCTTAAATTGCTCCATTCAAGTAGATAATTGCATGATCTTCAATCAATTTCATTTCTCTTTTCATATTTTCACATTTTTCATGTCTGGGTTTCTTATAACATTTTCAAGCAGTATATTTTTAAATATTTGGGAGACAAATATTATGTATAATAATTTACTCTATCATTGTCTGCAGAATTAAAAAAGAATGATAAAACAGAGTACTTCATTTCCTTCATAATGTAAAATTCATGATATATGACGTTTCTTCAACTTTATACCACTGTTATGTCACCCATCCTGCATGCGTTTTCATACTACAGAGAAAACATTAATAATGAATAAATGAGTTTTAAAATTAAATTGTCTTTAAAAAAGAAAAAAGACTAACACATATACACATCTTTCCTAGTTGAATGCTGATCGATATAATACAGGAATAATAATAAACATATTATATAAAATTATAAAAGTAATAAGGATTATTGATAGTAATAAAAGAAAGACAAAACCCTCTGTAACAGTTATTGTAATTAATCTGTAGAAAATTTACCATGGCTTCAAATCCCAAATCATTCCAAATATTAACCCTAATTGGTCCTGGATCAAATATCCATATCGGTTTCTAAATACCATTTCTTATTAGTTGCTGATTGATTGAATACAATAAGCCCAAACTCCAAAGTCAATCTATTCCCCCCCCCAAACAGATTAGATCACTCCTCAATTAAATGTAACAAATCCATTTCCCACTCTCCTTCAAACCTCTTAAAAAAGACCCATTTGCCAATTATTTACCCAGAGAATTCTCTTATTACATAAAAGCAGAGGGTTGAGCTTCCAGGTGTATGAAGTTGATTCTCTTATTTCTAAGTCCATATTTCTCCAAATATTTTCTATAGTCTGTGTTGTTTCTGAGTCCATATTTAATATTTTGAAAACAAATTTGTTTTGTGGGTTTAAAGTATTCAGAACTGGTTTCTTCAGAATGTTTTCCAGTCTTTATGAATTCATCAAATGTTAGGGGGAAAAAAACAGCTAAAGATTGCATGTTGCTAGGCTGTCTCTCCCCCCCCCCCAAGCCTTCTCCTTCTCTCTGTAATCTGATATATTGTAGCTCAATGATGTAAATAAATAAAACAGGAATGAAGAAAAAGAACAGATAAGATATTTTCTATTTTTATCCAAAGACTTTTTGCAGGTTAATAAATTGCAGATTCGCTGCAGTGTATAGTCAATAATATATAATTCAAATATAAATCTTTTTCCACGCATCGCCCAGCCATTTCCGTGGCCTACTGGCCAAGAGCCCATGGCCCGGTACCGGGCCACGGCCCATAGATTGGGGACCTCTGCTGTATATAATCAGTTATCTGAATAAAAATACTTAAAATATATTATTGGGCCTAGTAAGACTTTGACATACTTTTATTTTAATATAACATGACATAAACCATACTGGACGAGCAGAGGAAACAATAAATCTCAGAAATAATTCTTTTTTCTGCTTGAGTCCTTAATATAGAGGATAGTAGGAGAAGACTGGTAGTGCTCATTGTAATAAATTATGTTCACACAATCTACTTTTCTCTTTATATTTGTTTTAAAAAATTCTGTTATCAAAAATTTTTGCATGAAAGAGCATGTAACATGGACTATATAACATATCTATTAAATTCACACACGTTTTTTGAAAAAGATGAAAAATATATATTTCCAGTTTCATGAATATAAATAACAACCAAGCCCAGTATTTTTGGTAATTTTGCCAATTTGTTTTTGTTTTGGCTTAATTATGTAAAAACGAACATACCTAATATGAACATTATCTTTTTCAAAGCGTTTACAAAAAAAGTTGCAATATTTAAGAAAATCACAATATGATTTACTTGTGTCTTTATTGCAAACATACCAGTAATAAAACATACCAGTTAATAAAACCAGTTCCTATCACAAATTTCAGTGCTTATAATTTTTAACAAAAATTTAGAAAAAAGAATCTACATATAAGCGGGTTCATTACAAAACCCAAAACTTGTAATGGTGCCTCATAAACGTTCTTTACGTGTTCCATTTACTGTGTTAAAATTTTGAATCATATGTTCATAATGCATATTCAAATCCTTTGATTTTTTTTCTGAAAGCATGGGAACATATGCAAAGAAATCCTTCTTGTTTTATTACAATAGTCACACCTTTTTAAAAACATCAATGTACAAACATAATTAAAAAAAACAAAAATTCATGAGCTTGACTAGACTGAGTAGATTTGTTGAAATTAGTCCCCTGATTTCAGCAAGTCAACTTTAAACATTATAGTTAGGTTTAATCCAATACAAATTTAAGGGGAAGCTGCCTTCTTATTGAACATTTGATTTTTATTAGTATCTTACTATTCTATTTTAAAAAGCAAGAAGCAGAGGTTATAATAACAATAATTCAGGAGTCTGTTGCAGTGGAAGTTGTATGAGTAAGATCCCCATAAAGGAATTATAAAAACAGTAAAGGCATAAATTCTGAAATACAAAATTATTTAGTGACATAACCAGCATTTGGCAGAAAATATTAAACAATAAAGGAAATGGCAGTGTTTTGTCAAAAACTGCTTTTCTTAATGGTGCAGACAGAAATTTTGTAGGAGAAATATGATATACAATCAAATGTAAAGTTTATTGAACGCACATTTAAGGCAGACATAAACATTTCATATCTAACAGTATCAAGTAACCTAAAAGATCTTGATATCTGAAGACTAATACTTCACTTCAGTATCTAAACTTAGCAATAATACACTGTGCACTTCAAAAATTGTTTATTATCTGATTCAATATATCATATTATCAGATCAGGTCTATTTAAAAAACATGAAAATTATTTGTACTACTGTGTTGCATTACAACATGTAGATATAAACATTCTACTGTGTTGCATTACTACATGTAGAAATATTAGTAACACAGAAACATTTTACTACAGTTAAGAGTAACATATTACAGGTAGTTCTTGTTTTATGACCATTCAATTACTATGGTGCTGAAAAGATGAGTTTAAGACCATGAGCTCATTGCAACACTCTACAATCATGGATTAAAATTCAGGCCCTCGGCAATAACCCCCCTCCATCATCTATTTTTCCCCAATCTATTACTTTTTGATCATCCTACACAATGGCACCTTCGGTAGCAGGGTAGGGACTGAAGTAGAAGCCCAGAACCTTCAGCAGTCTCAGCCAGCTATCACCTCCTACAAGCCTCTATTTTAGCCCCAGGACTTTCTAATCTTCCCCAAGTTTCATGAGGATGGGCGCACTATTTGAAGAATGGCAAAAGTCCCATTCTTAAGATGCTTCAGACACCTCATTCTCCAAATCGTGTGCGCCATTCTTTCTCCAAGCCACTTATCCCGTTCTAGTGACTCTTCAAAATCTTCTGGTCTTCCCCAGGTCTTGCAAGAATGGATGTACTATTTGGAGAAGGAATGGCTTACCAGTGCTGCTTTGCAGGGTGGCCAAAAGGGGGCAGATCAGGAAGAAATAGGCAGATGAGGAGAGATGCACGGCCCTGCAGTCATAAAGCATTGCTTGGCCTGGTGAGATAGCTGAGGCTTCTCAAGATGCAGCCCCATTGTGTCAAGCTACTGGACTGGGATGGGGAAGTTGAGGATTCCAGCACATTTGTACCACACTGGAGCTGTTCCCAACTTACATGCAGCCTGCACCAGGCCTCCTATTCTCTGTGGTAAATGAGACAGTGTCTGCTTAACAACCCATAATTCAGGATTGCTGAGATTTCGGTTACTAAGTGATATCACGTGACATATCGTTTTATGGCTGCGTCACTTAGCAACTGAAATTCTGATCCCAACTGTGGTTGTTAAGACAAGAGGTTACTGCAAGAGAAGTTTAAACATTTATTCTTGATATCTTAATTTTTTCAATTATTCATGTATACGAGAACCACTAATTCAAAAAAATTATCAAATGTAAATATTTAAACTTCTCTTGCAGTAAATTTTTGAAATTATTCATATGTATGAAAAGCATGAGAGCCAATCTGGTGAAGTGGTTAAGGCATCAGGCTAGAAACTGAGAGAAGTGAGTTCTAGTTCTACCTTAAGCATTAAGGTAGACCATAAAGCATAAAGCCAGCTGGTGATCTTGGGCTAGTCGCTTTCTCTCAGCCCTGGGAAGGAAGCAATGGCTTTCTAAAAAACCTTGTCAAGAAAACTGCAGGGGCTTGTTCAGGCAGTCTCCAAGAATTGGACATGATTGAATGGTAAAAAGAAAGAGAAGCAAACTTTCTAATTCATTGGGAGCAATTTCCTAATAAGAATTTATAACCTATCACATAATACATATAAACTATCAGCATAAGATGATAGTCACATTTTGGTACTCCAGTTTTTTATTGGTATTAAAACAGTAGAGAAATATAAATAGGATGAATTAATAAAAAAGTACTAAACAATAACACTGAGGATATTAATATAGTGGAGATGCCCTTACCAGCTCTTGGGTTTACAGAGAATTTTACTACAAAAATGTAATTGTTCCAGTATATTTTATAAAGTAAACGTAAGTATTCTGCTCCCATATAGAAAAGCTATTTGCACAAATCTTTATAAAAAGCAGGGAATTTCAAAATGGCAAGTACAGCTTGTAAAATGTCATTAATGATTGAATTCAGGTTTAATTTCACTATCAGATATGTAGTTAGTATGCTGACTAAATTCATTCAATATTACATATCTAGAAAGGAGAAGTTTGTCCACATAGAATAGTGGTGTCAAACTGCCAGCCCGTGGGCCGGATGCATCATCCAGGAGCCGCACCCACCCCATTGCTGGCAATGGCAAAACTGTCCCAATACGTTACGCAATGTCACATGACATTGTGAGTTTGACATGTATGACATAGAACACGCAATACCCTGTAAGACTGGAGAGAGCAAGAACAAGAAAAAGGGAGAACAAGTGTGGGTGAGAACATAAATTGGTAAATACAAAAAAACTTTGCATTACCATAACTAACAATGCATTTTAAATATTTAAAGCTTTTGAGAAAAATACTCCAAAATCAATATTACAAAAATCAAGTCCCTATTTTCAGATCTGTGAACAGAAAAACTATCATTGTAACAGTTGTCATATAAACAAATACAAAATACTTCATATCATACAATCTACTATATCTAATAGATCAAAAATTCATATTTCAATATTTAGGAAACCCTACAAATGAGGATAACATTTTTTACTGTCAACTTCTTTCAATGCAAGCAGTCAAACTTAATAAAAATCTTGTGAGCTAAGCACATATCTTGATGCTCAAGAGCGTATTTAAATGTGTAGAACTGGAACAAACTAATCATCAATGTGGTAATGAACTGGTGAAACTTCAAATTAATGTCACGTTATACTATGGAACCATCTTTGCTTTGTGCTGGTATCATCACAGGAATAGCTCCCATTCTACTTAGATTAGGTGCAGCTACCTTTGGTGGATCAAAGTACTGATTCTGAGAGGGAGTACGTTCAAAGTCTTCACTCGGCACTTTATTGTATTGAGTTTTGGTAAAACCATCCATATTAGACGGAGACATTGAGCCCAAAGATGATCGATTACTCCCTATATAGCTGCGGGCTGTTGAGGCACGACTCTTTGGAGGAGGGACATCCTCTCTAAAAATGAAACATATTTAAGAATTCACTTAAGAATCTTTAGAAACACTAAACACCCATCAGCACTATTTATTTAATGAAGAGTACTAACACTGCCATAATAGCAGACATCTCATTTTCTCTGTCACAATGTTTCTAAAACTTGGCAACTTTAATATGAGTGAACTTTAACTTCCATAACTCCCAGCCACTGATTTATTCTATCCTTATTTTTTAGATTATTTTTGTCAAATAAATCTATGTAACATAAACTATTTTTCTCATTTATTCTAAGCTATATTCCTTGAGCCTAAATAAATGTAAATAAAAAAATGTATGACAATCTAAGATGCATTTTATTTATTTACTATTAATTTATTTGTTTAATTTATCTGCTACCGACTACCCTGACAATTTAAGAAAATTAGTGTCTCTCAAGTTGCAGTTTCACTGTCAAAAGAAAAAAAAATCACGGGTAGGGAATAAAGGAAATGAAGAAAAGGGGAAAAATGTAACTTCTTGAAGAACAGAAAGAATATACTAATATATATTATATTATGTTATTTTTTTATTTAAAAGCATTAATATTTATATACAAAATTGTACATCAATTATTTCCTTTTCTTGCTCTACTAAAAATAACAATTTATGACGTTTGTTGTTTTAGTCAACAAAATGGCTTTGAAGAACTGCTTTTCAATGTTAGGGCAAATATCAGTATCTATTCAGTATTCTATTGGCTTATAAAGCCAGAATGTGCTTATTAGGTTTTCTGGCTGATATTGTTTCACCAAAACAAATACAAACATTTATCGACTATTGCGTCTAAAATGTGTCAACTTTTTTGGTTGATTAAATATTCTTTTAGATTTAAAAATTTTTTTAGAATAATTAATATATCTATTATTATTGCTACTAAATTTCTTTATATTGAATTACACTCAATAGTTTCTACCTTTTAATCAGGTTTAATTTTTCACACATTCTAACATTTATTTTGTCATTTATAAAACAAATAAAATCTTGCTAGCCCCATTACAATATTTTCCCACTTTATTTTATAAACTTGTGAATTTTGTATAACCACAACAAATCATATGAACCCTTTTTTCAAGCAAAAGATTTTCCAGACACTTCCACTTTTATTTAGCTGCTATTTTTGTAGATAAATCAATAGTACTAGAAGTTAACATTTTTAGAAATGAAATGTTGAAGTAATATTCAGTTAATCAAAATGTGCACCTGATATCATGATGTACTTCTTTTTCATATTTTGTGTCTCTTCGTTTCTTATAGTAACAGAAAATGAAAAAAGCCACTAAGCCGAGTGCCAGAAGAGTCCCTATAACTGCTCCAGCAATAGTACCAGCTCTATCTATAGCTAAAATACAAAAAACAAATTATGTCAGGCAGCAGAAATTAATTTTTACATTTTAATGACAAATGTTTAGCTAATATCGATTTTTATTACTTCACTGTTGCCTGTTGACTAATACTTACGGGGTGTAATAGTCAGTATGACAGAACATCCATCTCTGCCGACCTTATTGTAAGCCAAACATGTGTAAGTACCAGAATAAGTCTGAGAGGCATTTTTCACAAATAAGTCACCTGTATTGTCATCTGTAAATATTTAAGGTATTTGTTAGGTTTTTTCTTGCAACAATATATAGAATAAAAAACAATGTTATTTCATGTATTTTATTACTTAAACATACCTTATTTTATTGAGCTAAGTCTACTGCTAATACTATTAGTATTATTTTGGGAATGAGGATAGATAAAAGCCCTTCTACTAATGCCTGTGCATATAAGCATTTCTACAGATGAACACTTTTTCTACTATGATCAGTTACTAATTAATAAAAAATCATACACATTTTAAGAGAGAGATAAGATTTCTGATGAAGAAACTAAAAGACTGTTATCACCTTACAAAATTATTAATGTGTGAATTCTTCAAACAAGAAAATTCATAATACAAGTTAAGTTCATTCAATGCATTACTTTTCTGATTGCTAGATCAACCATGTCTTTTGCAAGGCTACTCCTCCCTGTCCAAACATTCTGAGGTAAGTCTAGAATGGATAAGTACTACCAAAAAGACTTCATAAAATATTATAATTACCTCAAGAGACTTAGAAGAATTATCTCATTTAAAGTTTTAAAAAAAATCTAAAGATTCTTACGCAAGGGTGTGCAAATTCACTGAATTAAGGAGTTGAAGCAAAGCAACTTATTAAAGATGGCAGATTCCAAACTGTGTTTTTGACTGGCTTCCAATTTGGAACAAAACAAATGTTCTATCCTGAACATTAACCCTTCCAAAAGAGTATGGACAACAGTAAGCAGTGGAGAACAATGCCATAGCTTTATTTCCTTCAGCTAAATTTTAGTCTATTTTCCCTTTTGAACTAGCTTTAAAAAACTCTGATGATATATCACTGAGAAATATTTTGGACAGTTACATGGTAAAATAAACAAAATGTTTTTCCTTTTATTTCAAAGTTATATCTAAAATTAATTTAGCATTTGAAGGCAGTAAAGGTAGACGTAATAGTCCTGTCAATGAAAAATATATTAATAACATGAAAGCATACCTGGTAATGCTGTTGCTGGAAGTTCTTGTGAGCCAGTTGTTTTTTTCCAGGAGTAAAGTATGGTGGGAGAACCTTCTTGGGATTTACATTTCAAAGTAAGATCACTTCCAATCACCTGTGATCCCTCAACGTGGCATTTAGTTTTCATCGGTTTTTCTAACAAATAAATATTCTAATATAAGTTTTAATGATGATTAAATTAACTGGCATTAGCTTGTATACCCAGGAATATTTTGTATAATCAGGAGATTTTAGCAGTAGCGATTTACCAACAGTATGAGACCAAATCCAGAACAATATCACATATTTGTATATTAACCCTAAAACCATAACCTTTTCTCGGTTCACAATAATCCTGTTATGTGCCTCCTTAGCTCAAACATGTATTTTCCTGGACTGTTATGTTAATCTGCGAGCCAAGGAAAAGTTTCCCACTTTAGGAGATAACAACCTATAATCCTGCTGAAATACTGTGTCACTTCAGATCATAACAGCTGACCATTCCAAGCTACTACTATTCTACAAGTCTTTGATCTGCAATATCAAAGTAAATTATATGTATTATAGATATATAATTTCTAATTATATGAATTATCATGATGACAGTATGTCACAACCAGTGGGTATTGGCTTAGGTTAAATTAGATCACGATTTAAACTCCCTTGGTCATGGAAGCCAATTGGTTGACTTTAGACCAGTTAATCTCTTGTCAGTGGTTCTCAATCTTTTCTTCACCATGGACCCCTTTAAATACCTTTTGTGGCCACAGGCCACCAAGACTTAACTCAAGATTGCATCAAGCCTTTGCAGACCCCCTGTGACATCACAGCCCCCCAGCAGTTCATAGACCACTTTTCTAGGATAAAAGTGAAGAGTGCACTTTGTATGTCAATTTGAACTACTAGAGTAAATGAATGAAATAATGAATATGTTAGAATAATGAATGACAATCTTAATAAGTGGAAGACCAACAAGTTACAAACTGAAACATATTAATCCCTCAATTTCTCTTTTTAGTTCTATGTACTAGTTCTCTTCTGTAAGTTTATTTTTAATTGATTCAACCTAGTGCTTTTATTCTGAAACATGTATGTTTACAAATAAACTGCTTAGCTACAAAACTTAGAATCTGAAGAGACATCACAAATTTTGTAGGGGAAAATTTGAAAGTTAAATATAGTTTCATCTTAGTAGATCAAACTATATTTCTACTAAAAACAAAAAACAGAAATTTCAAGCAGCATAATTATGTAACATAGCTGCTTGCTAGGAAAGATTGGGATATGTGTAACTCTGTTATGTGTAACATAATCCAGAGAATTTTACTAGAAAGTCAAATATTGTAGTATGAGCAGTATGACAGATGCCAATCATAAATTTATATTATGCAACACAACAAAAGTATAATTCACATATCATTTGCATTGCATATGTATCATCGTACCTCATTTTTCCTGTTTTTAATTTCCCAAGGTCATGGGAACATAATTCAAAAGATTTGAACTTTAAAAGGTAACACATTGAAATTTATGAGAATTTTAAAAATATGCTAATTTTAAAAGAAAAGTAACCAAACTATTGCTGAGTATCCAACAGTGCATTTTATTTTTTACATTACACTGCACTTTCTATGTATTAAATATTCATATTTAATATTCAAACAGAGCTATACAAAAAAGGCTAACCATAAATACCTTACCAAGTACTATCAAACGGACTCTGTGAGTTTGAACACTAGGAAGTTTCTTCACTTTACATTGGTATAAGCCATCATCTTCTGTTTTTAAATTTAAGATATCAATGCTTGCATTTCCAGATGCTGGATTTTGCTTAGCAAACTGTACTCGTCCCACCATACGATAGGTATCATAAACTTTGCCTACATTATATATAATAACCTGAATGGGAAAAAAAGAAAAGGTTAAGTTACAATAGTGTTTAAAATTTGTGAACTCTTTTGACTTTCCCATATTTCTGCATAAATATGGCCTAAAACATGATCTGTTCGCCACACAAGTTCTAAAATTAGATAGAGCGCCCTGTCAAAAATATACTTGTTAATTAGTGATTGAAGATTGGTCCAAAGCTACATATTTCTGGGTGAGCAAAAATATGTGAATATCTAGGATTATCAATTCATTTGAAGGAGAAATGTCAAGCGTTTTAATCAATAGAAGATTTCAGCGGTGAGCATGGGAGGTCCTGCATAATTTAAAGAACAAAGTAATTCTGGATATTCACTATCAAAGTCTGATACGCATAACAGGGTGGCATCTCCACAAGACTTGCATCATGCTTGGTATCCAACTGAGAGCAAATCCAAGTGATTTTATCTGCTAGATGCCCGGAGAATTCCTCCATATGGTCCTACAGGTTGATTTTCAGGCCACCCTTTCCAATGAGAGTCCAGATAACTCTAAATAGAGCCACTGTTTAGGTGGCATTCAGTGGATGCAATAAAGGCAGAGAAGTATTGACACTTGGCCATTCTTACTGCCATAAGGTAAACCTTAACAGTGGCCTTAACATGTGTTTAGTCAAATTCATTCTTTGTTTCTTTCCAATGGCACTCTAGAGTCTCTTGAACCTTTTCAGCTTATTATGTTTTTGACTCATTTGTTTAATTGACTCATTTGTTTTTTTTTTTACCTACTTTTAGAACTTGTGTGGAGAATACATTTTAAGCCACTGTATGTCTTAGCAATAAATAATCTGTTCAATATACTTCTCTAAAGTGCCCTAGAAAAAGATACAGTATTCTCATTAAGAATTTAACTTACAGTGCATACAAAGACTAAATTCCAAATAAGTATTATATCCGTGCAATGTCTTCTACTTACTGGCTCTTCCCCTTTTGGTGGCAAAAGACTCCATTCAATTTCAACTGTGTCTTCATCTGGTGGAGTGAGAGTATATGTGCACAGCAGTGTAACTTTATCTCCTTGAGCTTTTGTGATCGATTTCTGTTCTGTTGTTATTGTTATACCTTCAGTTAGATCTAGGTAAAGTATTGTGAAATCAAGTATATTAGATTCAATATCTTAAAGGTTAAAGACAACATCTTAAAAATACATGTGTCATTGAAACATTTTTACAATTATTTTTAGATAACTAGAGGAATCAATTGACTTTATAATCCTCATTTGCACATTATGCTCAAAAGGAGTATGTATTTTTATAGAAAAGACTATTACGAGTGAAAGAGTGAAAGAAAGAGGGAGGGAGGGAGGGAGGAAGAGTGGATGGGTGAATTAATGTGGATCATGTTGGGCACCACAATGTTCAAACTCCCAAAGCCACTCAGGTTTTTTTGGATGAAACCAAAGCCTATTATGCCACATCCAGACTCCCACATGATCAGACAAGATGTCTGCGACATCACTGACGCAGTCAGGACTGAAGATATAAAGTTGAGTATAATCAGCACACTGATGATACATTACAAATTGTCAGATGACCTTACCGAGCACCTCACATGGATGTTAAATAGAAAGCAAGAATCCAGTCTGTGGAACCCCATAAAGCAGAGGGCATAGGCTGGACTTCCTCTCAACACTGACTGGAACCAGCCACAGAGAAAGGAAGAGAATCAACCAGGGTGGATAATAATCGGTTTTAAAAAAAATCAGATTTTTTAAATTTAAATTTAATTTTTTTGATTTTTAGCAAATTTATATTAATAAAATGCTTTTGGAGTAAAAATCTATTTAAATATAGTTTTCTATTTAAGATATATTAATAATTTATTCAGCATGAAATGGAGCTTAAGTTATTAGCATGAGGCTCTATATATTCTGCAATATTTACATTTTTGATAAACTCATTCAATGAATCCAAGCTTTGTAAGCTGAGTTAACAATGCACTGATGCATTCATACAATTTCACAGTAACCATGAGATAAATCATAAAACAAAGTTCAGGAATATTCTTTTATCCTATTGTTTTGCAAAACTATGTACACTACAAACTGTACGATTGTTTGAAGAAAAATGCATCTGTATCAGGCTCTAAGTGTTTTAATTAAATAAAAGAATTTGAGTAGTTCTCCAAATACTGTGTTTCTCTGAAAGTAAGACCCAGTCTTATATTATTTTTGCTTCCAAAAGAGACATTAGGTCTTATTTTGGGGGGATGTCTTATATTTTTTGTGATACCTGCTTCGCCTCACGGTGGCGGCAGCAACAGCCCTGTCCAGCAGGCACCCACATGGCTACCGGTCCACTTCTGCTGCGGCCGCTCACGGCAGGAGGCCACATGGCACATCGTGCTGCTGCCACGAGGCAAGACTGGTGTGGGAAGGGGTGGAGCTGCCCCATGTGCCCCGTACCTATTTACTTCAAAGCCCCACCAGCCAGGCCATTTCTTGCTTGGTGACCTTCCCTTTCATTCCCTTCCCGAGCTGCTCTGCCATGCTATGGAGGATGGGTGGGGTAGGCCTGGTCCAACTCCGCTGTTTTGGAGCCAGGGGGGAGTGACAGTGAAAGGCTCCGCTGCTGCTGTTTGCTACTGGAGGGGCTTTCTTCACACTTCACCCCACAGATTACCTGCCCGGCAGCAGCCGCCTTCTCCTCCACCAACTCTCCCATGGCTTGCACTGTGACCGGGCAACACAAGCCTCCCCAGCCGCTTTCCACCAGGCCTCCATCGCCACCACTGGAGAGAACTGAGAACAGGGAGGGGAGCAGCTCTGCGCAGCGATGCAGAGCAGAGAAGAGCACTTGCTTCCCATCCTGCATTGCCCCGCGTCTCCCTTCTCTGTTCTGGAAATGGCAGTCCCATTTCCTGCCACTTCTCCTCCCGGCGCTGCTATAGTTTGGCTCCTCTCTCTTCCTGAAAGCATTTCTTCACTAACATGCTTTCTAGCTCTGGCACATTTCTCTCCTGCTGCAGGGAAACGGAGTTTGTGGACTAAAAAAAACTTTAGTCAGAGCTTCCAATTTCTCATGAAAAAAAAATCTCGTGAGAAGTTAGAAGGTCTGACTGACGTTTTTTTAGTCCCACATTTCTTGATAATTATGGGATTCATACCTTACACTATATGCTCTAACCACACTTGCTGTGAATCAATCAGTAGGTACACCTTTATTGCTACGTTCAGACCTCCTCGGTATCATCTGTTCATGTGTTTCTGTTACTCTTTTTATCCAGGTCTATCCTCATCTATCATTATTTTTGACCTGCTATCCTATTCTTCCTTCATTGGGATTTGGGTAGCCTCTCCTTCCTGAGAACTAACGCTACTTGTTAGCATGAACACTTCAGTGTTAGCATGCACCCTGTTCCAATTATTTTGTTCTGTGAAACTGGCAGACCTTGATATCACATCCTTCCTTGTTCCATCTGAAAATCTATATCCCTTGGAACCTGGCTCAAATCCTACAAACCCATGTTTCCTGACCTTTTTCTGTCCTTTCCTTCGGTGCCTTTGGGGATATGTACCCAGGCATAACTGCCAAATGCCCTTAGGTGAGCTAATGAAGGTTTTCTTCCATATAACATGTAATATGGAGTTTCATTGATAGCAACACTCCATACCCTGTTCACTAAATAATTGGCTGTTTTTATGGCTTCTCCCCAGTATGTGTTACTCATTGCTGAATCTGCCAGCAGTGAGTCCTTCATGGTCTGCAATATACCATTTCTTCTTTCAGCCACTCCATTTTCTGCTGGTGTGTAAATGTTTCTACATCTATGCATTATGCCTAAATTTCTCAGCCATCTTGGGAAATTATCAGACATGAACTCTGTTCCCGTCTGTTTGCAACTGGCGATACTTTATGGCATACCTTCTCTCTATAAAGTTCACCCACTGCCTGAACTGTTGAAGAACTTCAATTTTGCTCTTTATTAAATAGTAGAACCCATAGCTGATGTAGTTATCTACTAAGACTAGTACGTACCTAGCTCCTCCTAGAGAGGGCACCATAGGACCAATTAAATCAGCGTGCACTAACTGCAAACCCGTTTGTTTGCCTAATGCTTTTCTTACTTATAGATACACACTAGACTTTGACTCCCTGCAAATAGCGCAATCCAAATATGTGTTGCATTGTTTAATTCGTAGTCCCTCAGCTAGATCTGGCATTCTCTGCAGCACTTTAAAACTTCCATGTCCTAACCTTCTGTGTAATAAATGTACACAATTATCATGCTTGGGAGTGTTCATGAGCGTTCGTGCACAATCTTCCTGCTGCTTCCTTAGTACATATCAATTATCCTGTTTAACACCTTGTGCACAAATCCTCCCACCTTTCCTTATGGTATATTGACCCTTTGCAAACATTACTTCATACCCCCATTTTATCCAAGCTTAAAATACTAAGTAAATTATGGTCTAATTCTGGCACATATAACACATTATCCAAAGTTTCCCCAATACCAAGTACATAAACTTTATCTTCCCCTTTAATCACGAACTGTTGTCCATTATCCAAGCTAACAAATGCGTGCTTAGCTGGTCTCAAACTGGAAAACATTTGTGGGTTATTTGCAATATGCTGACTCGCCCCACTGTCCAACAACCAAGTGGTTTTTTTCTGTTAAAGTTGCTGCCAGGGAAAATGTCGGTTGTATAACTCTATGACCTTATCTCGCTGCTCCTCTGTTTCTCCTCTTAGGGCAGCATCTCTGGAGATGCTCTGTAGAACCACACGTGAAGCAGCGTTTCACCATGCAAACGTTCTTGGCTGCTCTGCTGACATCTTTGGACGTTGTAGTTCTATTCGAGGCTTGGTCTGTGCCCTCTCTGCTGCCTTTCCAGATGTTACTGTTCCTCCTCCAGCAACCGGCCAGTCAAATAACTCATGGTTAAGTCCTTCTCCTGCGTGGACTTTAAACTAGTCACTAGGTTGTCCCATGAATTGTCCAATGAACTGAGCACCACATACACCTTACGTGACTCAGTAAAAGTCATCCCTCTTTTCTCTAATTCTAGGAATGTCTTTCTCATTCACTTCAAACCCGTAGACATGCTCTCTTCCAACTTCAGCTGTACTTTATATAGCTTTCTTGTCAGCATTACTTTGCTGCTCACAGTCTGTCTCATGTACACACTGCGTAAAGCTTCCCAGCACTCTTTAGCACAGGGCTTTTCAACCTTTTCACCCATTGTACCACTTTTAGGATATGGCAATATCCGAGTACCACCAGGCGCCTAGCAAGGTGTCAAAAACTTGATGATCAAAAATAAAAAAGTAAAAAAGTGATGAAGTACAGGTAGTCCTTGACTTACAACAGTTCGCTTAGTAACTGTTTGAAGTTACAATGGCACTGAAAAAAGTGTCCCCCAAGGCACAGCCAAGCAAGACACCTGCCTGCCTGCCCGGCCGGCGGCGCTCTTCCTCCTGTCCAAGGTTTTCATTGTTGTGAGCATTTCTGTTGAGGATTGGGGGTAGGGGTGGGATGTTGTTTGGTTTTTATTCCCCCCATCTGCTGGGTGGTTGCAGCAGGTTTTGGTTACTTCATAAGACCCTGGGACACTAACTGTCATAAATATGAATCAGTTGCCAAGCAATCACCTGGAGATGCTGCAACATTCCAGCTGATCGGCGCTTCTTCTGGGCTCAGCAGAAGCGACAGGATCAGCGACGAGCTCCAGCTGGAGCCTGGCGCTGATCCTGGCGCTTCCACTCAGCCCCGACAACCCTGCAGCTCCAGCCATCTCTCGCTCAGGCTTGTGCAGTGCTGCCACTGGTTCAGCTCATTCCCCTCCCCTGCTACTTTTCTAGGATGGTGGCGTACCACCTGCCAGGGACCAATGTACTACAGGTGGTACCCGTACCACTGGTTGAAAAGCCTTGCGTTAGCAGACTAGAGACCCTTCATCAGTTGGCTATCCTCCAAACACAGGATTATAGTGGCCAATGCTTTCTCATTCTTTCTCTGGTCCCCATCATCCAGGGCTACAAGTGGATCAATAATTATCATCTACAACTCCTCCCTTCCTCAGGTACATCTCCATTTTCAGAATCCAGGAGAGATAGTTGGTCTCATTCAAA